CAAGGTACATAGTCTAGATGCAATGGTTAGCCCAAAATTTTGCAAATAGACAGCTTCTTAGGGCAATCCCTATTGAATTGGAATCCTTGTGCGGGGTATGAGGTGGCGTACCTTGGACAAAAAGTCGATGCCAATAGTTGCTTGGTATGTGTTGTCGAACGAGTCATACATGAACCGAGTGATCAATGATGTTTTGCCGACTGCAGTAATGTTAGATATCTTGTGCTGGCCCCTCTGATTGATCAGAGCGCATGTAGTAAATGCATGGGGTGATGAGACACTTACCGCTCTGCTCGCCTAGGAATACCAGCCTACATATCTCCATTAGCAATGTAATCCTAATTCCATACTATCATTCCAAGTCTTACTTAAACTTCTTCAAGGGGTTCGAATACGACCCAACCCCGGAGGCAGATGCCATAGTCACGGAGATGTTGACACGGCTGAAAGTCAGGGGTAATCAAGCGCGCCAAATGAGGTCAGGGATTCACAACTGAGTGAAAGTCACAAGAACAAGGCTAATGAGAATACAGAAGATTAAGACAAGTTTCTCCCCTTGAAAGAACTGTAAAAACAGGGGAAAACAGGTGGCCCAATACGTCCGGGGAAGCGCAACGCGTGGTCACCGCCCGAACGGACCAGTTAATCCGCTCCGGCCACCGAGTAGCCCATCGCCCGCTTCCATCCAGAGCTTCAGCTACCTTATCGGCTGCGTATTCTACGTCTGCGATCATCCTGACCTTTTCATTTATTCGTCATCAGGCTTATAGAGGTCACTATGGGTTACCTCTATCCAGCCGGTGTCTCCACCACCGCTCTCATTGTAGTGGGATTGTGTACGTTTCAATGGATCCGAGATGCGATCTGGCAGCTAATGAGAGGGTCCGGATTCTAGATATGCTCTTCCATGGAGAGGGAGAAGCGTTCAATGTACGGAATTCCGCTAAAAATCAAGTGATTTGCTCAAAAGTTCTAATCTGACACGTAATAGGTCGGCCGGTTCCTTGAGGAAGTTTCTCCTTATGCCTGGGCAAATATCGGAATCGCTTCGTGTATCGGCTTCTCAGTTGTTGGCGCAGCATGGTAAGTCAATTTCTGTTGACATGATTCGGTATCGCGATATTGACCGCATAATTTCCTAGGGGTATCTTCCTTACCGGCTCATCGATTGTTGGCGGTGGTGTCCGAGCACCCCGTATTCGCACCAAGAACTTGATCTCCATTATTTTCTGTGAAGTCGTCGCTATCTATGGTGTCATCATGGCCATTGTCTTCTCCTCAAAGCTCAGCCCGGTAGCCGAAGGCGCAATCCACACCTCCAGCAACTACTACACTGGATACGCAGTCTTCTGGGGCGGAATCACAGTCGGCGTCTGCAATCTTATTTGCGGTATCTCCGTTGGTATTAACGGAAGTGGTGCTGCCCTGGCCGATGCCGCCGACCCCAGCCTGTAGGTGACCCTCGTGGTATTGTTGATCTGATATTTAGGTTTGTTACTTACATTGTTTTCTTTTTAGATTCGTCAAGATTCTTGTCGTCGAGATTTTCAGCTCTGTCCTGGGTCTTTTCGGTTTGATTGTCGGCCTTCTCGTGGCCCAAAAGGCAGCGGTATTGGAGGCGGCCTGAAATTAAGCCTTCCTTTGAGAGAGAAGAGCTTCAAATTTGGGCGGCAAACAGATATCAGGGACTCGAAACATATGTCCCAGGCGACCCGCTTCGCCTCTTTATTCTCGTTTTCATAGTTCATGTTCATGTTTCGATATACACCGCATTGGGGCGTCTGGGGTCGACCACGTAGAGCCATTTTGGTTTTGCTGAATTGCATCAATGATCGGGGGATCATATGTATGAAATTTGAGGCCGCATGAGCTAGTTCTAGCTTGTTACACTAGGGATCTGAACGAATATTTGTAGAAATCGCTATCACATGAAACCACTTTCACCTATATTTTACATGTGGGCTCAACGTAAAGACCTACATTCTGCTATTTATTCAGTTCATCGAATTGCGCCTACTATTGAAAATTGACTAAATGCCAATATATACGGAGCACTAGTTCCAAATCTCATTGGATTGAATTGATTGGGGTTACACTGAAACCTGGTTTTCGAGCTGCGCCTACAAGGACCTCGGGATAATTCGTATCAACTGAATATGAACAAGAGCCTAGCATTTTGAAAATGATTATGATTGGCACATAAGAAACGCAGCATTGGCACTAGTTTCACCAATTGTACTAAATACATTAACCACGCCAATTTACGTCTGGGTTTGGCGATAGTCGGTTTGTTTTTCCCTCTTCAACAGAACTTCCTTCCCCCGCCAAACATCCACTTCCCCAGATTTATGCACAACGCACATCATGGAGGCCAAACTGAAAGCCGCAATCCTGATTGTGTCAGATACTGCTTCGAAAGACCCCGCTTCTGACAAGGTAGTTGATGCACTTACGCCTATTCTGGCCGCAGAGGGGAAGTGGGAACCCCCGCATTCAGGATCGTCCCGGACGACGTGTTCCAGATCCAACAGTCGATATACGAATGGGCAGATAGTCCTAATTGGTACAACCTCATCCTCCTTAGTGGGGGAACAGGATTTGCCGTCAAGGATAACACCCCCGAAGTTTGTGATTCCAATCTTGGCCGTTGATTTATGCTCATGACATCACTAGGCCGTGTCCCCTCTAATTCAACGCCATGCGCCAGGACTAGTGTGAGTTGGATACCCTGGGCACAGACGCTAGTGGTCTTGGAAACTAACCAAGACTTCAAGGCACGGCATGATTGCTGCCTCCTTGAAAGTAACCCCCTGTGAGCATGACATAAGGGGCGCTGTTGGCGCTGCCATGGCGTCCCTCATTGACTATATTTACTTTAGCTAATCCCCCGTGCAGTTGCTATGATGGCCAGACCAGTTGCTGGTGTCCGTAACAAAACTTTGATTATTACCTTACCCGGTTCACCCAAAGGAGCCATGGAGAACCTCGACGCTGTTGTTAAACTTCTTCCACACGCCTGTCTGCAGTCTGCCGGGGCCAATTCACGAGACCTTCATGCTGGAGGTGTGAAGAAGCTGGAATCGGAGGCTGGTGTTGGTGACCATCAACATCATCACCACCATAATCACCATCACCATGGTCATGACCATGGACATGGCCACAAGGCCCCAAAGGCGCATACCTCGCCGTCGGAGAGACCACAGTCCAACGACCCTAGTGCAGGCCCTAACCGGCGCTACCGAACCTCACCCTACCCGATGCTGTCTGTAGATGAAGCACTTCGGCGGATCAACGAGCACACCCCTGAACCAGAAGTCGTTGAGGTCCCAGTGACCACGGCCTTGATTGGCTCAGTGATTGCCGAAGATGTCTACGCCGCAGAGGCTGTGCCAGCATATCGGGCTAGTATCGTTGATGGCTACGCTGTCATTGCACCAGAATCTAGTGCCGCTGGCCAATCCACAAAGGGAATCTTCCCCGTAGCATCCATTACCCATGCCAATGTCGGCGGGAATTTAGAGCCATTGCAACCAGGGACCATCGCTAGAATTACCACTGGCGCCCCTCTCCCCCCAAACGCGAATGCTGTAGTCATGGTCGAGGATACAACCTTGGACTCGTGCACACCCGACGGCAAGGAAGAAGCGACAGTCGAAATCCTCGCCGAAGATATCGAGCCTGGCGAGAATGTGCGCGAGCCTGGCAGCGATGTCATGCTAGGCGCTAAGATCGTCGCCCGCGGGGACCTAATATCTCCTGTCGGCGGAGAGATTGGCTTACTGGCCTCAACCGGCACAAGGACTGTCAAAGTATTCCGGAAACCACGCGTAGGCGTTTTGAGCACTGGCGACGAGCTCGTCGAGCACAGTGACCCGCGACCTCTCACAGGCGGCCAAATCCGCGACTCCAACCGCCCCTCTCTTCTCTCATGCCTGAACTCATGGGGTTTCGAAACCGTCGACCTCGGCATCGCTCGCGACACACCTGCCAGCGAGCTCGAGCATGCTCTCCGTGACTCCCTCCGTGGCGTAGGCCGAGCCTCTGCCAGCGTCGACGTGATAATCACAACTGGCGGTGTCTCAATGGGCGAGCTAGACCTTCTCAAGCCCACAATCGAGCGCTCCCTCGGCGGCACCATCCACTTCGGCCGCGTTTCCATGAAACCAGGCAAACCAACCACCTTCGCAACTGTGCCTTTCAAACCAACCGGCGACGCCACATCCTCTCAACAGGAGCGCCAATCAAAACTCATCTTCTCGCTTCCCGGAAACCCAGCCTCTGCCCTCGTCACTCTCAACCTATTCGTCCTCCCCTCGCTGCACAAGCTCACCGGCCTGGGCCACAGCTCACAGGCACTCAGCTCTAAGCCTTGGCTTGCACCGCAACTTGGTCTCCCGCGCGTCGCTGTCGTCCTGACGCATCACTTCCCGCTTGATCCCATGCGCACGGAGTATCATCGTGCTGTGGTTACGGCATCGCGCTCGGATGGTCGGTTGTACGCAACAAGCACGGGAGTGGAGGGTGCCGGGCAACGGTCTTCGAAGGTCGGCAGTTTGGCCAAAGCGAATGCCTTGGTGGTGCTGCGGGCTGGACGGGGTGTTGGTATCAAGGGTGAGATTGTGGAGGCTTTGTTGATGGGCGATGTTCATGGCTCGGACACTCGGGTCATTTGCTAGAGATGTGATACGATATACGATTTATGTCTAGACGGAGATTGAATCTCCTGAAAACTGCCTTTGTTTTGGTTTCTTATCTGTCTGTCCCTGAGATTTGTATATTTCTTGCCTTCTCGTCTTGTCTTCACATTTTTTTTGGATGCTTTTTCTTTTTAACAGACAACAAGAACTGTACGTTTCCATATTTGACAAGAATACAAATTCATTGTGGGGTTTACATGGAACGAGCATTATAATTTTGTATGTGGTTCTATCTCTTCCTACGTAGAGAAGATAATGAACATCAAAGCTATGGTAAAGTACAGAGATAGCCCGAAAGTTGAATTACCCCTTTGAATACCTCCATCCCTTCTTCTTCTCAGCCCGAAATGCAAGCAGCGTCCCGTCTCTCCCCTGCTTTCTCGCAATCTCCACAACTACGAACCGCACGAAATCACCCAATGTCCAGTAACTGCTATGTGCACTCAACATATTGAGGTACTGGATATTCAATGGGCCACCACCACCCGAGAGATAATAATCAATTTGGCCGTTGTCGTTGAGCAGAAGCATACGTTTTTCAGCGATCTCTTCGCGAGTGAAGTCGTGGGTTTCGAGCTCGACATTGGACGGGAGCTTAGAGATTGTCGCGGGGCGGGTAGAGGCTGTAGAGGGCAATAATGTTGACTGGGTTGAGCTCCAGCGGAAGACACTTCCGAATGATTGCCAGAAGGTAGAGGTGGAGCTGGGGATAGAACCCATTTTGAGGGAGTTAGAGAGGTCTGAGTCTACTGTTGCATTAACTCGGTACGCGATTGCTAGAAAGGGTTGTTAGTACAAGAGGCAAAGAGGATGTGAAAACCGGTTGGGAAGGTTATGCAATCCACTTACGGTCAGTTGTGTGCATGATATTGTAGAGATTGTCTACTGCCAGACAGCCATATCTACCCGCTTCACCGGCAATGCCTCTAAGTAAGTCATCACCTTCGCCGCCTGGTTTATCTCTGCCTTTTCGGGGGAGAAGGCTAGCTGCGAGAATGTTAGATATAAGGTGGAATGATGTAAGTTTCAAGACGTACCCTTATTGAGAAGCAGAAAGAAGCCGACTGGGCTTCCACAGAGGAAGAGATGCCTAGTATCAAACTCGAAAATGTCACTGTGTAAAGCTGTATTGGAAAAGTCAAACCGAGGAACATGTGTTGGTTGCTGGCTGAGAATGTCTACGGCCATCACGCTTCCGAGCGAATGAGCAATGAGATGCACGTGGCCATGGTCTTGGAACCCTGCATTGTTTTTACACCAGAGGCGATACACACGGTTCGCTTCTCTGATCACTGCCTTGACCATCTTCGGCTTGTGGTGTGATAGATAGTAAGGGATATCAAGCATCACGTCGCTGATCAGGGATCGTATAGCAGGAAGGGTTTGGGGTGTTATATCTGCAAGAGAAAAATTGTTGCTAGCTGGATCTTCGATGGCCGCTTCAACATCGGGTTCATCCAATGACAAGTTGATGCGCCAATTCACTGGAAGAACCATGATTCCCCCATGATCCTGGCGCACATGCGGCCAGACAGGTTCATTATTAAGTTCCATGTTCACCTCTCGCCGAAACGCATTGATGGCATGGGTGAAATGGAAGCTTTCCATCCTCTCCGATAACTTTTGCCCGATGCCGTGGATAACGAGAACTAGGTCTGTTGGAGGCGGTCGCGATTCTTCCATCTTGCATGCATAGCATATTTGCTCACCTCGCGTAGAAGGACTTTTCAACTGGGTCTTGCGGATGTAATGGCGCACATCGATAGGATTGGCCTTTGATGGGTGCAGTTGTTCCCATAATTTTCGACTAAAACCACGAATCACAGGTATGCCTATGTGGCGGCCTTTCCTTATTGCACTAAGTGGTCGTCGTCCCCTCGACACTGAGGGAAGTAAGCTGGGCCGAAGTACTTGGGCATTTATGGCATCGACGTAGATAGCACTAGATGTGAGGTATGACTTGATACTCTCCGATTGAACAGAGGTGCCGCCAGCAGCTCGATTCTTGTCGAATCTCAATGGATCCTCTGCTTCATCCGGAGCTGAATGTGCAGTTGTAGGCTGACTGTCTTGTTTTGTCCACAGCGGGTGAACAATTTTCAACTCAGCATCTGCCCCGTTTTCCACGCAACTATTCAGTTCATCTTGCCAAGTGTCGCTCCATGGTTTTAAGTAAACGTAGCCTTCCTCCAATTTGTTCGCAAGTTCAGTTTCAACGGGCAACATGGTATTCTTGTAGAACCAAGTAGCTCGGACCACAGTTGATATGTCCTGAAGAGGTCTCCAGTAGATAGGTTTCATCTATAAAAATCGTTACTATAATAAGTAATAGTCAAGTAGAAAAGTTTTACTCACCTTGAGATTCGGTAATTCGACCAGATGAAGCCGTGAGACACCGACTGGAATCTTTAACTGTGTGTTTGGCTCCTCTGTCACTTCCCTCTGCGAGTCCTGGGTCAATTGATCCAGGCTCACAGTCGTTCTGAGACCCGAATGTTTCGCGGAATTTCGAGCAGCAGTACTGGTTCGGAGCTCCGCCTGCCATCCGCCTCCTTCTTTTGACGAAGATGACTCAAATGAGTGACCAAGCGGCGTCTGAGGCTGAGATTCCGGCGCCCGTATAAAAGGAGAGCCACTCATACTCGCACCATGAGAATGATCAGCTCGTAGACTTCCAATCTCCTCGTCGCCTTCACCCACGTTCCCGGCACCCAATGGAGGGCTGCTTCTTCGTTTGGCTGCACTGGACTCATTGATCGAAGACGAGCGCGCTCTCTTCCGGTCGATCGCAATTGCTCTCGGAGTATCATGTTTAAACCCATCAGCCATTGGGGAGCTCCCGCGATTTTCCTTGCCGAGTTCACGGGTTCGTATTTCAGCACTACCGGTAGCAACGGTAAGGTGACTTTTGTGGCTGCGAGAGGGCAGGCCGTCCGGGAACGACGGAGGGTTGCTCAGAGTGCTTTCTCTACTGCCAACCAAGGAGGGATTCTCTTGGTTGGCTGCCTTTGGGAGTTCGACATTTGAAACTGATTCATGACCAGGCACAGCTATCCCAGGAAGCCCTGCGGATGTAGTTGGTCTGGATCTAGGTTCCCTATTAAATTTAGTTTTTCTTGCTTCACGTAGATCACACCAAGCTTCCTCTAAGGCGATGCTATCCCTGGCTGAGAATGGTGTAGGAGGAAGTCTCTCATTCCCGGTCGCCTGGCTTGCAGGCGGAGGCAGGGGAGCCAGTGGATCATCGATCGGCAATGATGAGATATAGAAGAACTGTGACCGGATCTCTGGTGGTGATGGGAGCGAATGAAATTTGGCGAGGTCCTGCTCTTCATCCACAAGTAGGCAACTCGGACCGTAGGTGTGGATCGGGCCCGCCATTCGGATATTTGTACGGAGCTGAGCCCCTGCGTTTGAGCTATTGATCTCCACCCCTGATATGGAGGGCTAAATGTGGGTTGTATCGACGGTCATTGGGGGCTGAACTATGTCCACCACTGTCAGGAACACCCGCAGGTTATGATGATTTACAGGTTGAACTTCACAAAGGTAGAGCGGTGACTGCATGACACCCGTGATCCTACGCCGATGACGTTGCCCCACGTGTTTTTATGTCTACAACTTAACATTTTATTTTGCCATGTTTGTGTTACCTCTATATGTATATATATGTGTGTGTTAATCTAAAAAATTAATCTAAAATCTAGATTAAAATTAGTTCACGATTGGTAAAATGCCAAGATATCAACATATATCGCCTGAAATCTCAGGCAACACCCTAGCTTGATGGTTGCCCATGGACGCATTAGATTTAAGATAAATGCCCGTGATGGTAGCTTTGAGTATACTCTCGCATTGCCCTATATCAATTGATCATTATGATGATGGCAAATGATGGACTTATGATCATGGCTCTTGACTTGAGAAATGCGAGCGTATACTCCAGGGCTGATCTAGGAAATATATCAATTTCGGGTGTATTTCAATGCACATGTGTTAATATTATTGAATTAGAAGTTCAAGACCGAGTACGGGGTATACAAAGTACAAGGAACTAAAAATTAATGGTATTTATGTAGTCCAATCAATTCAGCCTCCAATATCAAACATAGTACTCCATATGAAACTTCATTGCCCAGGTGTTTCATAAGACTCCCGACATCTCCGGCTTTTCCACCAACCTTAACACGGGTGGCGCCCGGGCGTGGAAGCCTCCAGGGCACTTTGTCGGGCATGAGTTTTTACCCCTATGGTCCCACCTAGCCCACCGCCAATACCGCTTTCTTAAAACACGTGTCTATGAATAGACCCTAAAACAGTACGCGATGCTGCTTTTTCGGCGAGCAAAGGGTCGTTTCTTCTTTCCTAGACCTCCAAAGCATATGCCATATCATCAGAAGTAATTAGAGTATATGGAATGTTTTTAAGGAGATTATATTCTATAAATTGATTTGACAGTATGGTTGGCCAGGTCATCAGTATACCTCTCTATCGAGAAGGACAACTTAATCTCAGATATATAGATGACTGCGAAATAGTAATTCAGTGCTGGCACTGAAAAGAAGAAATAAACATTGAATTGCAGTGTGCCCAACTTGACAAGCAGACTGATCTCTGAGCAAATGAGCGAAGAGTATGGTAGTTTTGTGGGAATGCAGTTATAAACTGGGCTGGGTTTTTCATGGGATATTAGGTCTATAATTTCAGCCCTTGCTTGTGTCTGTTAATGTTGCTGTGCCGGGAGACCAAAAAGTACGCCAAAAACAGATATATATATATATATATATATACTATATATTTTCTCATGATAGTTGTATATATATCTTTGCCTTTGTTTGGTCATTACTTTAATCCGCAGTAACAAATCATAGATGATATACTGTATCATAAATATATAAATATATGCATATCCTGTTTATCCACGAGATTGATTCAATATGAAAATACATTATTGCAGTCAATATCCTACTCATGGCTAGTCGATCTACTAGGGAAAGTAAAGGATTTATTTCGGATGAGTTGGATTCGGATTACGCTCGACTAAATTAGTTGATCCACTCACCACTAGTAAAACACGAGGATAAAAATAAAACAGAAGAGCAAAAGCGAAAACGAGAAAAAAGCAGAAAACAAAACTAACAAAGTGCAAAACTGATAACGGCCATGTCCTAGAACAGAACAACCGAGACAGAACAGCAAAAAACGAAAAAAAAAAAACGGAAGCGAGGCGAGAATTGTTGCAAAGAAAAATCAAACACAGGTCAAATTCAAGTGAATGGAATCGAAGTTAAGAGCCAGAGCTTGCAGAGTTCTGAGTGTTTCGGTACTGCTGCATCACCTGGGCCTTCATCAGCTCTCCATGAACATGCGCATTGAGCGCCATGATGAGCTCAAGGTGGCACTCATCAGCCTTCAAAATCTCCAGGACATCCACGATATCGTGGATGTGCCTCTTGACAACAGAATCGGGGGCAACGAAGGTCCGGATGCTCATGTTCTTGCAGATCTTCTTCCAGTTGCCCAGGATGATGTTTGGGGAAAGGCCGTTGCTTGCTTGGCCGAAGCTGAGGTGGTCGATGTTTGCGCTGATGAGCTCGCACTGGGTGGTTTGGTCGAAACGGAACTCAGGGACTCCAGGCATGCACTGCTTCTCCCAATTTTTCTTCAACTTGTTGAGAGAATTGGTAGTGAGATGACCGTTGTAATACTCCTTCATCAGGAATTCATTGGCTGCATGGGTGATCATGTTCTCAACCTCGGCATACATTAGCGATTGCACATTGGTGCTCAGATTGATGGGTGCAGTGTTCTCGGTGACGATGCTGGGCTTGGGCACGTTGATCAAAGCTCGATTATGATCCCAAACCTGTCAAAATAATTGTTAGTCATTGTAACATCTTGTATAAACCGAGTAATGAAGTACTTACCATTCCCTTGATGCTGCCAAGTGTTGAATGTCCCTTCTGAATGGCACCCTTCAAGAATTTGAATTTCTTGTCGCGTGGTCCCTCATTGTTGTCAAGGTATCCTTTCTTACCAAAGAGGGTCTTGGTGAATCGCTTGCGCTTGGTTCCACGGGAATCTTCGGAGCCCTCAGAACTGGAGCCATCAGGGCTTCGGCTGGTACGACCCGGAGTTGCGTTTCTGGAGAAGTTTCTGGCATTTGTCTCATTGTTGACGAAGGAAGCTGCGCGGCTATGTCTACCGTTGGTAGACTCAGATGACATTTGAACAGCTGGATGATGCTGGGAAACGTCGCGGATGGGAATATTCATAGTGAAAGTAGAGTTCTGTGTGATACTGTTCAATTGCTCTGAGGCTGACTGCTCGACATTGTCCACGTGGTTTGGTCTCAACCATCTTGGATAACTGGTAGAAGATGACATGTATCTGGGACGGAAAGTAAGCGTCGTAAGCCGGGGATCGTGGGGGATACTCTCAGTGGGAGAAATTCCAACGCGAAGCGCATCGACATAGGAATGTCCAGAACTATCGCTGGGAGGATGCTCGAAACAAGGAGCTTGAACAGGAGATGAAGGTGAATCGAGTAGAGGCGGATCAGGCATAGTGTGGTCCCAAACAAACGCATGCCCGAGGGGTACGGTAATTCCGGTGTCACCCTCATCATCGTGATTGGAAGAATCCCAATCGTGACCTGCTTGGAGAGGAGAGAAATGAGGCGAAGAAAGGATAGGTGAACCATACTCAGAAGATGCAGTAGTTTGAACATCAAACTCGTTGCTGTTTTTCGAATCCCAAGTGGGACCTGTCTCGAGAGGGACGAAAAGGGGAGATGAAGGCACCACAGGTGACTCTTGCAGACGCGCACTAGAAGCAGTAGTTTCAGGATCAAACTCATCCTCAGACCACCAGCAACATCCTTTTGGACAATGGGATGGAGCAGGAGATGGGGACGGAGACCACCACGAAGGAGTCCACGCAGGAATTGCAGCTGTAGATTCGCGAATGTTTCCAGGGCTCGCATATGCAGGACTCTCCGGACGAGGAATAACAAAGTCAGGAGCCTGGTAATAAGGCTCAAGGACCTGGTCGGCATAGCGAATACCCGTAGAGTAAGCAGAAGGAGGACTTTCTGCTTTGTGGTCTTCATTTGCAAGCCGGCAATTTTCCTTTTCCTGTTTGATCAATGCAAGCAGTTCCTGCATGGTGTGGCCCACACGTTTGGAGCATGCGTTTTCTTGGTCGATTTCTGTCATTGGAATGGTTGGCTCATCAAATTCTTGCTTGATTTCAGGCTCTGGAGTAGCGCTGCGAGCTACTGCAACCTGGGGATCCAGAGAAAATTCGTGGCGAATGGGGGAAGCTTCGTACCACGAAGTTGGAGTATGACCGTAATGGTTGGCGTAGGAGGCCTGCGAATTGTAGTCGATTTGTGGAACGTATGCAATGGGTGGCAGGGTTTCCTCGAGTTCTCTGGGTTGAATAGATGGAGTTTCATCATCGTAGCCTGACAGCTTGCATTCCTCAAGAAGCAAACGCGGGTTCATCTTTTCCGAGTGCACAGGGCCATTGACAACTGCCTTCTGGCTAACTTCAGTAACAGGCTTAGAGGCTCCTTGTTGAGAGGATGGGGTTTCATCTTGGTGGCCTTGCATATCGGATTTGTCAAGTACGTAATAAATGCTCATCTTGTTGATATTGTCCCCAGAATCTTGGGAAAGCTTGTTCTGGCCAACTGTGGTGGCAGGCTGAGGGACTTCTTCCTGAGGAATGGGTGGCAATGGCTTGGTAGATCTGTTTATCAGATTAGATTTATGCTCAGCAAGTTTAGGGAAGGATAGCCCGTACACATCATTCTTGTTCACAGCATTTCCATTGCGATGAGCTGTACCTCGTGCTGCAATGCCACGAAGACCTTCAGCCATGCTTGGGCCCCGGTCTGCCATGGTACGTTGATTCTTGTTGGCACCCCGCTTTGCGGTGTGAGGAACAACATGTGGGTGCTGTTGAAGCCATTGCTGACGTTCATCTTCATAGAAGACTACCGACTCATCATCCCGATCAATGACACTGGGAGCTTCCCAGTGATGGGCAGGTGGAGATTGAGACATTGTTGCGTCTACAGTTTCAATTGTAGAAAGGCAAACGCAGAAGTATGAGAAGCAGAATTATGAAAAGCAGAAGTCTGAAAAGCAGAAGTACGAGAAGCAGAAGTATGAAAAGCAGAAGTATGAAAAGCAGAAGTATGAAAGATATCAAGAAGTATAGGAAGAAGGAAGGAAAAAGATTGGACGAAAAGGATATTTATGCAGCACTCATGGGAACTTAGAATTACAATGTGTCTCGTTGCAATAGCCATTGAATTATTATTCATGTCCGAATAAAGCATAGTAAAAATATCGAGGTCATTGTTGAGGTTGAAAAGCTAATGCTGAGACCGCATGATCTGCAACAATAGGACTAGTTCAATAATGGGGCTAGCAATGTCTTAGAAACAATAGAAAAAAATAAGGTGAAAACAAAGAGAATAGAAATCAATAATATTGGGACAAAGAAAATACATGGCAACAAAGAATGAATGAACAAACGGAGAAAAGAATAATTTTATATTTCCCATTAAGGAAATTGGTGATTGACCAATCAAATGCCCCCTCTCCACATGATCATTGTGTTATAAGTTAACCTTAAAAAGACGACATGGTGCGACAGCACATGCTTCATAATGCAAATAGTATGTACGAGGTTTGAGAGGGCTCTGTAGGCTATGTACATAGATAAATACATATATTACAATATCACAAATTCTTGATACCTAGGCACCCATCACACCATTGAGAAACCACAAAGCAAAAACATATCATTGCCGATACCCTGTGATCTCCCAACTACTTGTCATCACCCACCTCACAGTAGGGACATTACAAAATCTTGCGAAACGTCGTTGCTCACCTTATGTGCATATGTACCTATTCAATACAATTTCTCCAAGGGTGTTAAGATTAATTTAATTATTCAGTAACAATTATTGTGCCTAGCTCACAAATATATATTGTATGTTTAGTCCTGATATGTTGTCTCCATTTAAGCATGTGATTAATGGTATAGTTCGGAGCGGTGCAGCATTTACCCGAACAAAACTCTATTGTTTTTGTTGCCTCAGGTGTCAATATTTCCATATGCACTGTGGAAGAATCATTCATCATGGTTATACTAATACTAGATCAAGGCTGAACTATTGGGAAATCTAGCAGCTATCAACTAGGAAATTATTTTTTACAGACTATTCATACCCTATTCATACGACTGCGCTGGTGACACCATCATAGAATTGGAGTCGAACCCTTTTGAGTGTTGTTGCTATGGCCATGTAGCAATGTTTACAAGGTTGTTTTTTTTTAGTAGAACCAATTCATTTGCCATGAATGAGATCGAGAAAACATTTCAGAGTATATGCCAGACCTCGTGGGTTTTCTCACCTAGAACATGGCATGGAATCTCGGGTTTTCTGCGCTGTAAGTACCAGGTTAAACTACCATGACGGCGCGGAACCTGAACCGGTGAATAATGCGGCATAATTTCAGTAATCTCGGTATAACGGAACGAGGGGTGGAGCTAGTCATGGAGTAGATCGGGCAATTTTCCCCGGGAGCTATACATAGTACGGAGTATGGACATTGTAGGCACATAGGAAGCCCAGGAATGTCCAGAGATATAGATACCGGGCGGAATTACCGAGGTGGAGTCACGTGCCCATCACTCCGCTTACCGAATTCTTTTCCGGGTGGAGCAAAGGACAAAGCAACAATCCAGTCACACCTGCCAACAGGTCGGGATCCACGACGGTATTATGGGCATTGTGCAAAGCCAGTCTTGTCTCCACACGGTGCTTCTTGCCTCGATTCTGACAAATCTTCCACAACTCCGTTTCTCGTGAACCTGATTGGCTACCCCAGCCCTTGAACGGGTGCTCCCCACAATTCCGCCGACTCTGAATGCCGTGGATGTGCTCCGTTGCTTCAGTTGAATACCCAACCCGTCTGCTTACCCCTAGTTCCGGGCAGTATATAGAGACAGCCATGGCCCTCATTCATTTCCCTTTCGTTATAGTGCAGGGTGACAATCTGATTTACTCTGTTTTTCTTTTAAATCATTTACACAATTCTTCACTCTAATCAAATCTCCATTCGCCATACATTTCATATCTACCTCAACATTAATCCGTGTGTTTGCTTTTGGTCGCCAGCATGGTACAGCAAGAGCATTATGACATCGTCATTGTGGGCGCCGGCCCCGTCGGTCTACTCTTGTCCCTGTGTATGTCACGATGGGGTTACAAGGTGAAGCACATCGACAACCGCCCAGTGCCGACCGCTACTGGTCGCGCCGACGGTATCCAGCCGCGATCTACCGAGATCCTACGCAACCTTGGTTTGAAGCGCTCGATTATGGCTTATGAGCCTGCCAAGGTGTACGACGTTGCCTTCTGGGATCCCAAGGCTGACGGCTCTGGCATCGGCCGCACCGGCAGCTGGCCTAGTTGCCCCCGTTTCATTGACACCCGCTACCCTTTCACCACACTGGTTCACCAGGGCAAGATTGAGCGCGTATTCTTGGATGAAATCAACAAGGCTGGCACAACAGTCGAGCGGCCATGGACCATCGTTGGCTTCAAGAACGATGGCGCCAACGCTGATTACCCCGTTGAGGTCAACCTGAAGAGCCTGAATACCAACGTCATCGAGAATGTACGCGCCAAGTACTTGTTCAGTGGCGAGGGTGCCCGTAGCTTCGTCCGTGAGCAGCTCGATATCAAGATCCACCACAAGGATCCTATTGCCTATGTTTGGGGTGTCATGGACGGTGTCGTGCGCACCAACTTCCCTGACATTGAGGTAAACATGCCTGAAAAGAACCAATCTCACGTATTTCTCTAACCACTTGATACATAGACAAAATGTACCATCCACTCGGATGCTGGCTCAATCATGGTCATTCCTCGCGAGGACAACATGGTCCGCCTCTATGTCCAGATCGCCTCCTCCACAGATGCAGACTGGAACCCCCGAAAGTCTGCCACCGTCGAGGAGGTCCAGCAGACCGCGAAGAACATTCTGAAACCATACTGGATTGAGTGGGACCGTGTTGAGTGGTACTCTGTCTACCCCATTGGACAAGGTATTGCTGAAAAATACACCCTTGACGAGCGAGTCTTCATGGGCGGCGATGCTTGCCACACTCACAGCGTCAGTACTACCCGTTGAGTTCCCCGTCATTCTGAAAATATCGCTGACACCTCTAAAGCCCAAGGCCGGTCAGGGAATGAACACTGCTTTCCATGACGCCCTTAACATGGCCTGGAAGATTCACGTGGTCGAGAGTGGTTTAGCCAGCCGTTCTATTCTCAGTACCTACGAGAGCGAGCGCAAGGACATCGCTGAGACTTTGTTAAACTTCGATGCCAAGTACGCAGCTCTGTTCTCCAAGCGCCGCCCATCTGCTGGTGAGGTTGGTTCTGCCAGCCACACCACATTGGGTGCTGATGGGGAGGAGGACGAATTTGTCAAGACCTTCAAGTCATCTTGCGAGTTCACCAGTGGATACGGAGTAGCCTACCAGCCCAACATTTTCACCTGGGACGCGAGCCACCCTGCCAAGTCCGCTCTGTTCCAGATTCCCGGCGTTCATCTGACTCCAGGTCGAGCTTTCACCCCGACCACTGTCACCCGTCTTGCAGATTCCAATTTTGTCGAACTTGAGCAGGAAGTACCCGCTAATGGTGCATTCCGCATCTTCATCTTTGCTGGCAACCAGTCCAAGACCAAGAAGGCCATTGCCGACCTTGCTGCCAATCTAGAGAAGGAGCGCTCATTCCTTTCGGTGTACCGCCGGTCTGACATTACCGATGTATCATTCTTCGAGCACCACAACCCTCACTCTAAGCTGTTCACCCTATCTGTGATCTACGCAGGCTCCAAGAACACCATCGATGTGGACTCCATTCCCCAGGTCCTGCGTGACTACCACCACCACCTCTATGCAGATGATATCCCTGATGTGCGTGTTCCTCAGGCTCAATTTGCGGCCCACGAGAAGCTAGGCTTTGATACTGAGAAGGGTGGTGTTGTCGTGACCCGCCCCGACAGCCATGTGGCTTGCACCGTGCAGCTGGTCGAGGGAAGTGGCACTGTTGACGCCCTCAACGAGTTCTTCAATTCGTTCTCGACAAAGCCGCTAGGCCAGGATTCTCAACAAAGCCGTCTGTGAGAATGTTGACATATTTATGAGTCTGTATTTTACCCTCGAGATGTATATAGCAGCGATAGCTTGAGCATGACCGGCGTTTATTTTAAATTTCCATATGAACAAATTTCATTTCAAGTACCCAAGTTCCTCTTCACAGTTTTATGGTATTTCATAGTCTTGATAAGCTCAATGTTGTAGGGTGGTCACATGCCAAGCCTCGATCTACGTTAAGTATTTTCCATCTCCACCCCGCATCACCTGCAGAGAGGATCTTAACTTCCGCTATCATACCATATCAAGATCACCCACTTGACCTTAAAAGCCCAAAAGATGCTCACTCTTTCGGTCGAAGCTCAGTTGGAGGGGTAAGTGCTCCTAGTCTAGGTGTTCGATTATTGAGCCTTTGACGCTGCCAGAATCTCCCCGCACTGCACTCCAATCCCAGGAACGCCGCGCAGGCAAATCCTTTCGACCATCTTTATCAAAGAATCAACCAGCTGATGTGATAATATAGCGTTACTGCCCTTCAGCCCACTGATACTGAAGAAAATCCCTATTTCTACACTTTCCGAGTGCAATGCACCTCCTGCCACGAGACGCACCCCAACTGGGTCAGCTTCAACCGTTACGTACGTGGATTACTTACTGCTCCCTATTTCATAATGATTGAATATATTATTAACTATATTGATGTATAGGAGGTCCACGAAATCCCCGGTAGCCGCGGCGAGGCTAATTTTGTGTGGAAGTGCCGACTATGCACGGTAAGCAACCTATTTTTTTTTTTCAATCTGAGAGACAGAAAGAGCTTCACTGCTTCTGCGAGTTGCTTTCATTTTGGTTTCACTCTACTTTGTTGGCATCAATCATTTGGGTCTCTGCGATCTTTCCATGATTACACAACTAACAGCAACATAGAAAACCCACACTGCTTCCATCATTAGTGGACCCAAGCCTTATGAGGCCCAGGAAAAGCGCAACACCCAGAAGATCATCGAAATTGACTGTCGTGGCCTCGAGTTCATCGAGTTTAAGCCTGATGTGAGCAAATCCCAAATTCTTTCCAGATTTCCCTAGATAACTTTATGCTGATGAGGATAATCTAGGGTGAATGGGAAGCTAAAGCTATTGAGTCCACCACCACCTTCTCCGCCATTGATCTTACGGAGGGCGAGTGGTATGACTACGACGAGAAGAAGGGCGAGGAAGTCAGCATCAAGGAAATCACCTGGACTGTTGGCCGTTAAGCGAAGATCTACTTGGGGATGATGATTTTCAGGCATCTAAATCTATGAAATCCTGATGAACTTTGATTACATTTTTCCATTGTATTATTACTGTTGTCTATTGATGAGCTTAACCTTGGAAGCTGTGATGGGAATGGGGGCATGGGGCATGCTGAAAATGGGAGATATATCAATGATGCGAAAATGAGCCATTAAACGATTTTTGTTCCTTTATCGTAGCTCTATGGAGTTAATGCAGAGTATTTACTCACAGCAGCAAAATTCATCATATCAATCCAAACAACTCTTTACCGACCACCCACTATAAAGGACCTCGATAGCGGTGAAGAAATACAGGACGCTGATTGGCTCTCGACCACCGCCTTATTCAGCTCACATTTTCGCGATCTCGCCGACTCCGATGCCAACGCAATTACCAACACGCCTAGCACGATCAACCAACGGAGTAATAGATCCTGCTTGAGCTTTTACTGTCATCATATCCTCAAATTTTACTCCACACCAACCCACCCGGAACCTCTTCTCCAGTCACAATGAGTGTCCGTCTTTGCCCCCTCAAGCTTAGCCCGCTATGAAGCTCGAGATCCCGCTCATCAGCACCTGAACCCACGCGCTATCTCCAGAAGACCAATTGCTAACTCATGTATATACAGTTCCAACCGCTTAACCCCCGTCCCTTCCTCCAGGCCCGGTATGCGACTCGCTCCCAACCCACCCTGGACCCCATCAAGCAGGCTAAAGCAGCATATCTATCTCTCATGATATCCGCACATATGCATCGTTGCTGTTAACATGATTTGCTAACCTATCTATGTCTGCAGCGTTGGCACCGAAGTCCTGATCCGCCTGAAGTGGGGCCAGACCGAATACAAGGGCACTCTCGAGAGCATCGATTCATACATGAACGTCCTGCTGCGCGACACGCAAGAGTTCATCGACGGAAAGCCAACTGGTGCCTTGGGTCTTGTTCTAATCAGGTATGTGATGCGCGCTTCAACCGGCTCGGCTTCGGGCTGGATATTGTGATTCTGGTTTAGCTAACTCTCTTTCTCCCCCCGCACAGATGCAACAACATCCTCTATATGGGCTCAGCCGATGCAATCGAGATGGTGGACATGGAATACAAATAATATGTAGCATACCCTGGAACGGGGATGCGATGTAGTGCGGTATATGAGGGGGGGGTGAGATGAGGGCTGTTCTTATGTGTCTGGGAATCAGGTCTGCTTCGGTGTTGCGGCTTTTGAGCAGTGTATTTGGCGCAGTGAGATTCCTGTTCCATTGAATGGATAGGTTACTTGTTTTGTGGCATACTCGGTTGCCCTCTGCGCCCGCCAGGCACCCGGAGACACGATTGATGAGCTCAGCTCTGCATAGATGGACACGGAAGATCGATGTACCGAGTCTACCAGGTTTGTTGGGGCTCGGGTGTGTGTTCTACTCGCAATTTCAATTTATCACGAGGCGTTTGTTTGTTAATGGCTTTTCAAAGTGGGGTTTGTGCATGGCCTCTGACCAAAAATCGAATCAATTACTTTCTGCACGAGTCTGAGTGGTATACGTAGTTCGGTACTTTCGGAACTTTCTTCGTGATTAATCAGGGCTGTGGGCGAGTCTGCGCCATCAAGTGTCAAGTGCGACGACAACGTCTCCGGTTGCTCTCATCCGTTCAGTCGGATAGCACCGGTGAGAAAAAGGCCTAAATCCAGTAGGCGTCGACATATTTTGAATTTACGTGTACGCCGGTACACTGACGGAGTGACAGAGACACTATGACCCCGGGCGATCGGTTTCTCAACAAAAAATCATAGCTGCATAGTGTCGGCTCGTATTTCGGGGACGGAGTATAGCATCCACTACCCTGGACATAACTATATCACACAGTCCGCGCGATGGTCCGGTTGACATTAGTGCGGGCGCAGCCCTGAGCAATCTCCATTGGGGCGAATTCACCTACGTATACCAACACCCCTGTCTCTCTTGACGCCGTCCTATGTTGTATGATCGGACATTTGCCATGCTATCGTAAGCGATATATTGGAATATATTCGAAGCAGATCGAGTGGCTAATTACTGTGGCGGATCTTTTAATAGAAGATGATGATTACTATGTGCTATCCAATGTACTCGTGGAAATCGTACATTGAGAAGCCGATCACCCGTCGACCCGTTGACTTGTTTATCCCCTCTGAATTCCCTAGCCATTTAAACCAATGCTATCGACGTCATGGCGCTTGATGATACCCGCACCAGTGAGCTAGAGGAATAGCGCACTGCAGGGTTATCGTAGTCAGTTTCAAACTATATGGGGGGCCTTGTCTACAGAAGAGAGAGAAAAAAAAAGAGGGGATAAGCATATGATCTTCCGATATTATAAACCATATTGGACCTCATTTGACAGTTTTGCATCAGGTGCTTCTCTATATATGTAGATGAATCATCGCAGTTCTCCCATAGTGGTGGTCACTCGGACGCCACTGAAGTAGTTCGGCGCCGATCACCGCTGAGGTCACACATTGCCAAAAGAGGCTTGTACATAACATCTATGCATTTAACTGTGGGGAATTCGAGTGCCTTGAATGGCAAAAGGTTGCCTACATGGATTGTACACATTATCTTGTATGTGTACTTCTATTAAGTTCTATCAAATATAAAAAAAGCGCACGACCTTGGAAATGATGATCGTCATAGCCCTTTAGACAAATCTTATAGTTACTCACTCCACTGATCTTCGGTAGACATTCTTCTTTTTTTTTTCTATCGGAAGTCATTTCCATTCTTTTATACAAAGAAAATCCTCTTTCTTTATTCACCATTCTCTCGCTTTCCCCAAACGTGAAACACCCAAATCTCCACATGCAGTCAGCCTAGACCTGCAACGCTCTTTGTTCCATTTTGCGCTTGAACCAAAAACCTACATAAAACTATATACCCTCGTGACCTCCGAATTTCATTCCAAGGTTCTACTTTGGAATTGAAGATTATATAGTCTCCCCCCCCTCCACCAAATCAGCACAAAACAAAACACTCGTTTACACAATGCGCGACACACCCTCCAAGTTCATCGAGATCCTCGATCCCAAGGACTTACCTCGACGTATGTCCGATTCAGACGTCCGTCTCGAGGATGTCCTCGCCGACCACGAAGCAACCATCAACAGCCGAGCTCGCTCCTCTACACAATCCTGCGCAAACCCAGGCAAAACCCTATCTCGTACGAACTCGACATCCCCAACGCCACGCTGGAAACGTTTGAGCAATATACTCGCGCAACCCCGCCGGAACTCTTAATATACACCCCTCCCTGCAGTGGTGTGTGGCTTGGTCAGATCATATTACACTCTATTATATGTCTCAAGTACCTGTTAAGATTTGGGAAGACAATGCCAAACATATTTCTTACCATGTGAAAATGAAAGAGTCAAAAAAAAGGAAACGCAGATGAATTTTTTTCTTACGGATTCACGACTTGGCTAGCGAGTTCGGGTTTATGTTTCGTGCCCGCGGTAACATGAACTGAGGACTGTGAATTGCAAACGAGATTACGAATTGAAATGATACGAAGTGTTGTGCGCGGCGGCGTTACCTCTGCTATTCGGGTGTTTTCGAATGTTTGGCTTCAGATCGTTTTTGGTCTGCTCTGCTGGCACTGGTCCAGTTGACAAGGGGATTTTGCCCCGCTTTGATCTGATGAATTTACACTTTGTCTAATGAGGGATTTGGATTTGGATTTAGATCTAGGATTATACTATTATGATCTAGATTATGTTTGGTCCTTTGGCATATATATGGCTGTATAGAAACCGAATTCCTCAAAAAAAATGAACGGTCTGAGACCTACGCTTGCCTCTTATTAACTTGTTAATATAATATAACTTCCTTTCTCTAGTACTGGTTATCCCTGCTATAGCCGTAATGCCTTAAATACCCGATTAGGGAACCAACATTGAGTCGGAACCTTCTCTAGGAAGCGATAATAACCGAAATGCTATTCGACCCGGTTGTTTGTTCTTGGACTTTGTACCTGGCAAATATTAAATCCGGCGGGGTCCTAGCTCTGCTGGTATTCATCTGGCTTATAGCATGTATAGAATAGAGTACTGGACCTTGGACTAAGATGAGCTAGGATAAGGGGTCGCACCTCGGAGTGAAACATTCGTGCTACGAGTACACTCTCTGTTGAACTGGTCTAATAAAAGTGGCTTTGCTGGAAAGGTTTCAGAAATTAAGTCAGGAACGGGATGTCGGTGAAACTGGGGTAGTTCTTTCATTTTTCCTATCTGACACAACAGCTCTTGGTGTTAGGTGATACAAATCGCGATTTGGCGCTGTATCTGCCTCCGTCCCTGCGCCGGACTATTCGGACCTTCAAGCCTAGACTGAATCGCCGGCATGTAGGGCAAGCTATACGAGAGACCTGCGGATGTAGATTGAAATCGAGTGATCTTGAGTTGGAAAGAGGACTGTAGCAAAACGACAGAGAAAGTCGGACAGATTTCGGGACTGGCTCGATCTGTTAACATTATAATCTACATACCTTTGGTACAGGTTGAGTTGGTCTGATTGAGTATCCCCGGAGATTTCCCGGCATACTATTTATCCCGTCGTCTCGATCATCCAATCAGCTCCATCCCATAGTCGCCTTTCCTCTCTTCCAGCAACCTGCTAATCTCGGCTGGATGCACCACATTAAACGCGACCATTACTAGCAGCATAAGAGCAGCGTCGAAAATGTAACTCCAGAACTCTTGCTGGAGCAATGTCCCGCTACTTCCCTGGTTGTACTCGATGTACCGGAATATGGAACGGATGAAAATAAGCAGACTACCGATGTATAGCACGGCTTGGTGTTTTTTCCAGGGGACATCGTGCTGTTGTAGTACCCTTGTCCCGTTTTTCACAAGCTTGACGTGGAAAATTATGCTGGTGATTATGAACAGCCCAAAAAAGATAATTTGGATGATTAGGCCGACTTTAATCACATTTCCACCTTTTGCGGCTGTGCTGACGTTGACGAGCATTCCGGCTCCTGCATTGTTGCAATATAGGGTTAGTCAATCTGAGATTTTAGGATATCGTCGGCGCCTCGAGGGACGCGATATGGGTCTTACCTCCCGCCTGAACCAAAAAGGATATCACATCACCAACCACAAAGATCTTCGTCAACCACGAGCGTCGGATTGGTGACAAGTGTTCTCCACCAGTGACAATCATGATGCGGCCAAGTTCCATATAAATACTTGCGGCGAGGAGCGATGGTGCGACGAGGACAAAAATGGCTTGTATGGCAAGAGGAGGGACGGTATATCTTGGATATTCGTTGGAAGAAATAACACGCTAAAACATTGGATTGTAGGTAAGCATGTTCCCTATCCGACTTATTCGAGTATCGAGGCTGACTTACGGCTGTATATCCAACGACCTCAACTACAGGGAAAAATGTGTTAAAAAACTCCCGGAGAATAGCCCGAAGAAAGGCTCCAACAGCAAGTTGATACATTGAGGTGGTACTCACATATTCCTCCGGATATAAAAGCGATGAAGAACCAAGTCCGACCACGGAACATTTGCCAACAATGCGAGATGCTTGTGATTCCGAACAGGACAATGAATGTCACAGCGGCTGGTATTGATGGTATGTAGTCATATTCTCCCATATACTTAACTTGCACCATTTTGCTTTTGAGCCCTATAAGGGACTTTTCCGTGAGTTCAATCAAGAAACAAACTAAATATTAGATTTGAGCAGACCAAGTTATATAACTCCACATTTCAGGGATTTTCCAGCATTTCTAAACGTTGGAGGCCTGTTATATTTTTGGATATAAACTCAAGACATCCTAAAATGGTATAGAGTTCGTATAACGTTCCTGGCTGGAGTTGCGCGTTAATTGGCTTATTTACCATACTCGGTCCAACTTCCCGCCGAAACAAATCTCACGGTATGAATAAGTTGAAAATTCATCTTCTCCAACTGCTATTTCGGGGGCTTTTAATTTGGCAATCGGAGTCTCCCATATCCGAGCCCCCACAAGGCTTGCGCCTCAATGTACTTGTGGACCCCCCGATCACCCCTTTCCATTGCTATGTTAGGTACAAATCTTGGAAAGAATATGTTCAATGTCAGCACAGGGATATTTTTAGGATTGATTTAGATCATATAACCGCTAGTCTCTGCTCACGTTATGCTGATACTAGGTGGTGGTGTGGCTTACGCTCGCCTCTGGGTAGCTTATGCATAAGGTGAGAACTGTGGATGTAACTACACGGCGCTTCCTTTGACCCCGAAGTCTTCTTCTGTAACACAAGGAGACGGAAATTATGGTTCTCGCTCTATATTACCCGGGCTCACTAGGCTGTAAAAGATGAGACTTCATCATCATATCATCGCATCATGATTGCGTAGCGTGAGATGACCAGAGATGCGAGAGATTAAAGATTTTGACAGCTTGCCTGGTCACAATTAATAACTTCCTACAATTATATGAGAAGTAGCTTGCTAGCCATTGGTATTTTTCATCTCGATTCACTGGATTCTGAACTATAGGAATCCTTGCTGTACACGGCACTGTATTATCATAATGAGCAGTGGCAGGGCTTCGCAAAATTATTGCAACCACAGAATCCTGAGCCGAGATTGATACGGTCTATCTGCATCATCATCTTTGTGGCTAGGTATCCTGTCATTCTTAGAATAAGAATCCATCAGTCCCACTCGAAGAAAGAGTAGAGATGTGCACTCTCTTGGATGGATACTCGTTCCTTATAGGTAGGGTTCCAATATAAAAGGGTATTCGAGCTCGAATGGATTGAAGATCCAGTAATCAAGTATATAGATCAAGGCATGCTGGAAGAACCTCATATCTCGTTCGAAAATGCACCCTGGAAGGCTTTCGCCTCACTTATAAGGTCAAACTTAGGACAATACCCATATACCCAAGGAGCATTTACGGTAATTAAGAACCCCAGCAGAATAAAATCCCATAAACATTTTGAACTCAATGGCCGACAAAACCAAAAATAGAAACAATTCTATTTATGTGAACAAGTTTTTCCTAAATAGTGCATATCGCGCATAAGATCTCTTATCAAGCCTGCCCCACATCAACCTCCCCATCTCAAATTGTCCAAAACACAACTGCAGCAACCCTGTGACGATCTGTGATTGGAGCTTTCCCTGCAAAAGCCCGCGTCTAGTCTCAAAGATCCAACGCCAAGAAACGAACTTCCGCGACGCTCCCCGAGGCCCCAACCGTCGCGTCTTTGGGCGTAAATTGCCAAGACGTGTCATTCCACACTTGTCACCTCGTCCAGCTCTACCAGAATCCCAGAAGCCAAAAAAAAATGGCTTGGCTCCAGCAAACCCCAGGCTCCGGCGGTCGCGCCACATCCCCCACAGTCTTCGAGCAGCAGCGTGAGGAACTCGTCCGAGAGATTGCAGTGGTATGTACCACGTCCACGAAACTCCCGTCGCACTCGGGAACCCTTATCAGCCGCCGCAGCCGATGTTAATTTATTCGAATAGGGTATGGAGCAGGTACTTCAAAATATGAACCGTCTCAATCGGAATTTGGAGAGTGTGATTGCAGTAAGTTTCAGTGTTTCTGGCCAGAGAAAACGCATCTGCTAATGATATCATTAGGTCGGGAATGAATTTGGATCTGTGGAAGCTCTCTGGTCCCAGTTTGAAAATTTTATGGGCCGGCCTGAAGAACAAGGCCAGGAGGCTGGCAATGGCAATGAGAACCGGAAGGTTAGTGGGGAGAGTGATGCGAGTAAGTCGGGAGTAAAGCGTGAAAATGACGAGGGTGACTCGACAGTCATGCAGTGATGGTTTACATTTTGGTCTGCATGACGGGTGTCGGCGTCGGGCTGTTTTACTTTTTTTTTTCTTAGATACCATTCAAAATTCGGGTTACGTTTACGACCTGGGAAAAAGATATACGAATTCCTATGGGGAAGGCATTGATAAACACAAAAGGTCAAATGTATTGTTTCAGTAACACGTAGGGCGTCGCTTTCGTCAACAGAACAGAACAAATCAGATAACATAAACATAACACCAGTCCCATGCATGCCAATGGAAAACGGCAGAGACCCGAGTCATGAGAGACATCAAATGGAACAAGGGGGACAAGGGTCGTGAAAAAAGGCCAAAAAGAACACAAGCAAGGGGGGGGGAACGTGAAATAAAAGAAACAGCCTCCAGCAAAAAAAGAATTGAGATCATTGTAAGGGCCGCGCAGCGTATCGATACAACAGAAGGATTTGGAAAGTCATGTCTAGCTTTG